TGCGGTGCCCAGAGTCGCGTCCTTATTAAATTCCGGCCGGACGGCGATCCTCTCATTACAGCCGTTACGGATAAAGAGACATTTGTCTCGAGATGGGACAAACGTCGACGCACGAGTCTTTTGGAATCTCCACATTTTTTGCCACAGAAAGACACTTAATTGGCTTTTGGACCCTTGACAATTGTCGCGGGGAATCTTGGGTTGCAAAATTACTTTCATACACATTCTACAAATATTTGGAATAAATTTATGTGTAAGAGGTTAGTACTACGGACCACTAAATAGTTACACATCTAGATAATAATCTAGTATGTATGACTAAAATCTAAGCTTAAGTAGTTTGGTGTTACACTTAATTTTACTTATACATACTCTACAGAAACACTCCTGTGACTTCATTCATGTGTACGTGTTATGGTTTACCTGAAACAAAATAAAAAAACGTTAAGCATTCGTAGAGCAAATATAAGTATAAAATGCCTATTATTTAAAATATGTAGATAAATAGCTAAATATTCTTTTGAAGCTGTCAGGATTCACACCTGACCCTTCCGGATAACGTTGCCAGACGCTCTCTAACCACTAGGAAAAGTGGCCGATATCCTCACCGACATCTAGAGATTAGGACTGTAGATTTGGTTCATAATAAATAAGATCTGCATAAAATTCATTGATACACGCAACTTACATAATTATGTCAAAGTACGCGACTTCATATGAGTCGTCATTGGCCCTCTTAATTAATAAACTTAACTAATATAACTGAAGTTTTTAAATAGCGATAATTATTCAATTTTATCTGTGCACTAAACAGCGTGTCAACTGGTCCAACAATTCGCCGTCCTCCGACCTCCAACCTCCAGGCTCGCCAATTGTGATGGTGGACACGTTTCTCATCAAGGCTGAGAGCGCGCGACCGGCCCCTCAAAATTCCCTTCGATTATGCGGGGGTTGTTTAACTCTATGAATATACACATCTCGTTGCAATAGCTATGTGTCACTCATATAAAGAACCCACTAGCAGAAATTTACACGATACGTCTTTTTTCGGTATATTTAAATCATATCTTTTAACCAGAACTCTACAACATTTGAGCTTGCTCATAATGGGAATTAATTCTGCTTTGTTTGTTTACATTTTCATGCCCCCCCGTCTACCTATCGTCATCGTATCCCCGACCGGTTCAAATCCTCGCAAAGGAAAAAACTTTTCGTCTAATTTTCTTCAAATTTTAACTTTCATCTTATATGCAGAGAATATCACCATAAAAACTGATAACATTTAAATTTTAATAGCAATACTGATATTTTCTCTAGTTTTTGAATATTAAATTGTAAAATGTTATATGAAACAGTGGTCGTTTGCTACATTATAAAAGTAATGTAGATCAAATGACATGTTTTTAACTTGGTTGTTTCACCTGTGATTGAACGTAAAATGTGAAACATTCCTCGCTGTTGTCAGGATTTGAATCTGCCCCCTCCATATTACGTGTCCCGCCGCGCTATAGCCATCACCCTAAGCGCAAAATGTCCACGTGTTATTTAGTTTGTTTTCATTGCATTTTTAGTTTGATTGGCGGCAGTCACATTGGCCTATTGTGAAACGTAAATTTAGACTGAGAAAACAATAAGGGGAGAATGACCTGTCGTGCACATACGAATTAGAATATTGCTAATGTAATCGAGATTAAATAATTAGACCAATGTAATAAAGCATGTGCGTTAGGATCGATTAAGGGACGTCGGTCGCTGTGAAATGCACAAAAAAACAAAAGCTCTTTATTACTTTTAAATTTAAAGTCCGCACTAAGAACTCCGCCTAACGAGCGCCACGCGAATATTTGAAATGCGATAACGGCGCGCGGGATAATTAGTATTCATCGCATCAAAGCGAAATTACGAACATTTTTAATTGCCCCGTGGAGCGATCGCATGACTTGAATACAGATGCAATGGATTGTTGCGGAACTACGCTAAGTGGTGGCTTGGGGAGGTTATCCGCATTGTAAGGTCGCTCAAATCCCGACCATTGGTCAATGTGTTAAGTACATACACTAAAAGCATGTCTGATTAATTATCTGTTTGTAACAGGTGTTAGCTTTCATTTGTTTTATCGAGCTAAAAAGGTATAAATACTTTTACCAAATCAACGTAATTTCACTTTGCACAACAATAACACTGGTATAATTACTTATTTTATCACTTTTTGACTAAAGACCCACAACTCTAATGACTTAATTTATGATACCGATCGGGTAGCACTATCGAGTATACTTCATGTTGACTGCCAAAGAAGAAGACGAAGACGAAGACCATGAAATGCTTCTTGCAGCTTCATTTACACCTCACAGAATGACACTTCTTTTAGTGTTACCAACAACCTCAAGGAATGACTTCCTTTAGTGTTGCAAACGCAGGTAAATGTTTCATCCTCACATTAGTGTAATACTATATGGGTTTGTCCTGATGTACTTATTTTAATCTGAACTATAAGTCATAGTTAAGACCAGGATAAACTATGAGATCATGACATTATATGTCATGTCGGATTTATCGTATTGTGTTGAGATCGTTCTACACGCAACAGTTCTTGCCACATTACTATATATGGCTACACGTTAAAGATAATTTTTAAACAGTGAAAACTGTGAAATAGTCGATTACGGATCATCATTTTATCGTGGACATAGAGGGCGGCTAAAAACTTATAATAATGAATTGCTCCAGTAGTATTCAAGTATCTCGAAATAAAGGTTTTACCGCTGGGGGGAATTGAATTCATCCGGCAGATAATTTGTTTCTTACACTATAATGTGATCGAGCCACAATTTAAATCGAGGGTAGTTGGAAGCAATCGCCGAAACTGAACAGAGGTCCGTAATTAAATCCGGTGGCGGTGAAACGTTTAATAAGAGCGCGGCCACACCGGCGCGGCGCCGCTAAAACTTTTTCAATTAGTTGACCGAGCCGCCGCCGATGTGCGATCGGCCGATATGTCCGATGCGATCTGCTCCTGTACTTCCAATTAAATTAGTTCCCCGCGGTCCCCTGTCACGCTTTTTGGCCCTCGTTTGATTTACCAAATCCATTATAAAGTTACGCGCGATAATCGAGTTACAGTGTAGCTCAACGTCTTCGGGTGAGCGACAAACTCTTTAATGCTCTTAAGCTCTAATGTTCTAAACACTAATGCTTACCGAAACGCACACGTCGTTTAATAAATCGTGCCACTAATTCACTTTGTTCTTCGCATTTGCATACATTTATTTAACATAACTGCGTTCAGTAGTCTTACGCCCGGTTTCTGAAGCATCTGATCATCTGTCAAATGGCTTGTCAAATGTCATCGCCAAAAGGATGATTAAACTCTTTGAATTGATCATTATGATCATTATGATTATTGATTAATGAAGTACCTAAAGTTTAATTGTAGATTTCTTTGTTGCCGTTTTTAGCCATTGTTATCATAAAGATAATTCGAAATGATTCGTTAGCAGTAACATTACGTTACTATAAGCAGAATTACAGGGGAAAACAAGAACTGTAGGCTTTACAACTTCACGTGCCATCGAGTGCCTCATAATTGCTTCGTTTGCCCAAAGCCATTTGTAATCAGAAATATAAATTTAGTGATCACTTTAATATAAAGGCAGTGGTTTTTATCAAATTGATAATTATAACGTTCTAAACGTGACCAATAAAATATTTAAATTACTAGTGCTTTGCACCGCATACAATATGTTATGCATAGCAGAAACCTCACGGAGTGTCCACCCATCGGCGTCGAACCTTCCAAACATCGACCTATTAGATAAATTTTCAATACAGCTTCATTAAAGAGGCCCATTTAGATTATAATCGTGCGCGCGCGTCTTTAATGCGTCAATTTGTATGCACGCCTGTGATCGCCCCCTAAGAGATAAGGTCGCCCGCGCACTCCGCCCACCGAAAACAACAATAAACTTCATGTTCCCCATATCTAAGAGAACAATTAAATACAAATAAAATGACTACGCGTCTGAATATTTAATAGATAGGGAAAATTTATTGTGAATCTTTTACGGCGCGCTATTAGCTACAACTACTAGAGTCGTTTCGGAGTAAACGGCTTGTATAGTGCGCGCGTAGACTCTTCATGCGCCACAATAAATTGCAGAAAGCCGTCGAGCTAAGCCCCGTGATGTATTATGTCCATTATCTTGACTCTGATACAAGTTTGAGTCAGTTGCCGGAGTTTTTAAAAATATCGATGCTTATCTTACTACCATACGTCTGCCAAGATATCGTTGAAATTCTGGATTAACCCATAAATTGGACGAGTTCTGTTTGTCTTAGGAAAGGGTCTAAAAGGTGGCAAGTAGCTGAGACCCTACGGGTGTCGTAAATGTCCATAGGCGACGATTATCACTTAACATCAGGTAAAAAAACATGTTGATTCTTTAGGTGCTATTAATCGTGAATCAAAATGTCCAATTCGCTCCACAAACCTGTGATACATAAGTTTAAAACCCAAAATTAATGTCAACAGCAAATTGATGTGTTTGAAATGAAAACTGTTCCGAGATTTTTCGTTTTGAATATTGAACAAATTGCATGATTAAAATTATAAAGACCTACCTTATTCAAAAAACAATCTAATAACGCAAATTATAATATTGTAGCAGAATTTGTAATAAGTCAATTAATCTGTATTCTTTGAACGTTGATTGATATCTGTTGATTATGGTAGAGTATTTTTTATACGTTTACGATTCTGTAAAATCTTCATATACCTGGGGAGCTGAGCGTTCCGTGGATCTTGGGATATAATTCATTACCGCAACAAATTACAGACCTCCGCGTTATTGCTGTGAAACATTAATTCGTCAAGTGCGGTCCGTTCGAATTACATTACATTAGGCGAGCATTACACGCAATTTGGTGCGAGCGAGAGCGTCGCGGGCGGACGCTGGCTTTTAATAAAACCGCGTCTCGCGTAAATATAGCGCAGAGTTTTGATGGATTGCTGCGCGGCGGCCATTAGGCGAGGCGGGCGAGGGGCGCCCACCTGCCTGTGCCCGCCGACGGAGCACGGGCGAGCACATCGTCACGCTCACCTGTAAGCTCTCAATTCCCACGCGCCTCCGCTGCGGAAGGATTGTTCCTTTCCAAACGTGTATAGGTGCACAATGGTGTGCCACACTCGTGATACAGGCTTCAAGATGCAAAATTGCCTTGCATCTTGTTCCCTCGATAAAATCAATGATTGCCGGCTTACGTAAAAATGGTGAGAGAGAGAGAGAGAGCAGACAGCGTTAAACTTAAGAAATTTCGGCTATGCTCTGCACGCTTGTACAATGTGCTCGCAAGCTAAGTAATGAAATTTACCTTACTGTTACTGGCTACAATTCCGTGCGATGTTTACTTTTAATGAATAATGTTCCAATAAAAGAAGATTTATCGCGGCATGTCGTCGTGGAGGCCACGTGTCCCGGCAAACGTCCGGTGATAGGCCGAGAGGCGCGCGGCTATTTTGGCGCGGCGGCCGCGTCTAGACCAAACACCGGCTCGTTCATTGTTTGGATATCGGATACAGCGAGCAGTTGCGACGGTCGTTGCAACTGAAAGCTACCTCATTTTGTAAGAACCGAGATACACTGGAACCGAATGAAATAGTTCACTTTGTGTGCGATTACTTATCTTATATCCATAACGGTATAGTCAGAGTACTCTATACATACATATTTCGGCCCCATCTATAAAGCGGCCCCAACGATGAATTTTTAATTTACATGAATGTATAAGTCCAAATTTATTTTATTAATATTATTAAAACTAAATACTATAATTTTATATATTACTAGCGGCCCGCCCCGGCTTCACACGGGTGTTTAACAAAATTTTTAAAACTAAAAATTATCATACACATAAAATATTCCGAATATTTCGTCTTTGGTGAATAATTTTATGAATTTCTTCATCTTTTAATGAAATACCCTTGAAATTATGTCATGAAGATCGAAAGACCGCTGACCAGATAATGGTTCCGCTTTAATTACGGGACATTCGGGGTTACACGTAAAAGTGACAAATAAGTCTGGTCTCCCATAGCTTCGGACATAAATCATCGCATCTTTGGTTTGTTGACCGATATTTGATGAGCCAATGTCTTAAAGATGGCAACTCATTTGCAACCCTACAGGTGTTACAAATGTCCATGGGCGGCGGTTATAGCTTAAAATCAGGTGAACCGCCAGCTCGATTGCCACTCTATCACATTAAAAAAAATCATGTTTTATTATCTTTATTCAATATAGAAGTATTTCACTTATATATTGTCAAAAACACTACTACTGTCAACATTATCTATAAAAACGGCCAAAAAATTATGTCTGTTTTATGAGAGCCCCATTTATTTATATTTTTTTGTTTTTTGGTATTTTTTGTTATAGCGGCAACAAAAATTCATCGTTTGTGAAAATTTCAACTGTCTAACTATCACGATTCATGAGATACAGCCTGGTGACATATGGACAGACATACGGACATACAGACGACAGCGGAGTCTTAGTAATAGGGTGCCGTTTTACCCTTTGGGTACGGAACCCTGATAAGTCCCAGTAATAATGCAATGGCTTAAAACAGGAAGCTTTAACCATCAACCTAAATGCATACAATTGCATGCATGTCATAGTTTTGTTACGCACAGTACCTTGCTGAGGAATAGTCAAATATTAACCGTCTTCTCCTATTACGACTATGAAGGGATATTTTTATGGATCATACAATCGGTGTAACTCAGAGACCCTTTTAAGTTGGCCGTGTCTACCGTGCAACACTATATCTCTGGAGCCTTTTTAGGATGCCGTACCCAAAGGGTAAAACGGGGGACCCTATTACTAAGACTCCGCTGTCTGTTTGTCCCTTTGTCAACAGGCTGTATCTCATGAACCATGATAGTTACACAGTTGAAATTTGATCTGGGAATTTGTTTCCCAAGGAGGGTTGACGTCAAGCAGGCGGCTGGTTGTAAAAATATAGGCAAAATCACTTACAACATGATTCGTGTTGTGCCGACCCCACCTAGGTGGGATAGGGGCAGGAGGATGATGATAAATTGTATACTTGTCCCTCTATTTTAAAAGTTCGCGTCAAACGAAGTCATTTGAAAAAGGCAATTGTACTTTCGGATGTTGGTTAAAAATGTCCTGATGGTGAATGATTATTTGTAAAAAGATTTTTTATTGGTTGTGGCGGCTCCTCAATATTGGGGGGACTAACTTTTCCAGAAGCACAGCATATACCATTTGGTTCATCGATCCATTTTCTGCAGAACACTTAGAGCAGATCTTATTCGTGGCTACGATTTGGACGGAAGACTGTTGAGCAAAATGCATGAAAGCTGATCTGTTACTGTGAGCTAAAACTCGATCACGAACTCTAGTCGTTGACGTTTGTTATCTTTCTCTCTAATCTCGTATACGTTGGGAACGCTCAGAACTCGACTCCCTAGTGTGAATTTGTATATTTATATTATTATGCTCTTCAAGCCGCTGCAAACACTCTTGACTCTCTCCGACTTGTAAGACGAAGATTCCTCATTATGACGTATTTTTAATGTCCTCGCCTGCGAACTATTTCTAGAAAGATGAGATCTTGATCTTTTGGGCATTTTAAAATGATAAAAAAATTAAACTTTCTCAGTATTTAATAATTTGCTAACTGTCGAACAGTATAAATATGATTGAAAACTTATAAGAACTACTAAGTCAGTCGCTAAGCTGTTTGGATAGTTAAATTACAATATACTAACATTTTTAAACATGTGATATTTTTCGAATGGAATGTCCGAATTTAATAATTAGAAAAGTAATATAAAGCTATTGAAACAGTATTTAATATGAAGTAATTTATTTTTATAAGGATTAATACCGAGATACAAATAAACAGCCTTTGTTAGCGGCGGCATTTCAATCAAAATTTTAAAATAAAATAACACTTATTGTGGCATAACTATAATAGTTAGACATATGCTGTCGCGACACTTTTTGTAAATAATGATGTGGTCTGCAAAGTCGTAGTAAATTACTTTATTCTATCATCAATAGTTTTCGCAGCGCACGCGATGTAAAGAATATTTTAGGTAATTTTTGTACACCTTGAGTAACATTATTGGAGTTTTAGTAAGGATCCCTAATTTTTTTGAAAATATTATATAGCCCATGTCAAACAGGGATAATGTAGCTTCTCAACAGTGAAAGAATTTTTCAAATCGGTTAAGTAGTTTCGGAGCCTATTCGATACATACAAACAATCAAATCTTTCCTCTTTATATAATAGATTATTATAAAAATACAGTTACAGCTAGTCCGATACAAACCTAAAACCGGTGCCTTGTAATGGCTGCCTTTTGTCACTTTTGACCTACTCTACAACGCCCGCCGCTTAATATGCGCACTGAACAAACAATTCATCGCGCTTTAAAACAACGGGAATCGGTTCCGTTTAGAAGATTGCAGTCTCATTTGTATATCGTAGGCGTTTATTGGGCTGTTTGTTTTATAATAGCGTCAGAGTTAGGCAGTTTGAAATACTGTGGAATGAGTGATGTAACAGTATAATGTTTTATGTCTAAACGAAATAAGTTTTTAGTGCACTACATGTAACAGTAACCTGGCACCACTTAACAGGTTCGTAGTCATGAATTATAAGGATTAAAGGATAAGGTTCCAAACCGTGGATGTACGCAAACTACAGTTAATGTGTGAGGGTGCTTGTATGTTATGTGGAATTTATATACATGGTACAGGTACAACACAGAGTAATTTCACTCAACTTCAAAATTGTACGGATGAAGGTTCTTCGAAGAACTTGTATTTGTTGCGTAAGACCTTTATTGATTACATCTTTGTAAATATTATTTGCCCGAAGCAATAAATTCAATGCCTCTGACCGGCAAATATATTAAAGGGAATTGAGTGCCCCGTTTCGGCTGCCATGGCAACGACTGTCGGGCGCAAACATCGCATTTCATTATTTCGCAACCCAAGGACATCGCTCATGACGCAGGGCAGCAGATGAGCAGAATTCGATAAAATATTACGCGTTTTCGTAGCATCGGCCTGACAACATACCTCGTTCTTATTAAACGATGAAAAATTACTAAGGGCTTCGTTTGGGGTGATTTTGACTTTACTTAATAAGGAAGAAGTTCAAGGCAGTTTACAGTCATGAGTGGGCTAGGTTGAAGGAATCTTAATATGTAGTAATTTTATTCAAAAAGGAGTACCTATATGAGTCATCTCAATTTCATATTTTGGGAATTGGAATGGTGGGCTTTCATCCACACATAGTACTTGCTCGTTCCTATATACAGGGACAAGTCAATAATACCCCACAACGCAAAACCTATCAACGGGTAAGTACACTGAGAGAAATCAAAGTTTGGCATATCAATTAGGGAACTGTGGCAGCACGTCCGTGGTCGCCCACTTGGAGGCGTCCGACGGGCCGCAATATAAGTTAGGCAACTTCGCGGAGTCTTTCGTTAGGGGTTGCGCCCCTAATCTGCGCACTATCGACCACATCGCAGTTTCGGTGTGTAATGATGTCCTCCGCACTTGCTCCGCACTCTAAATATCTCTAAATCTTTGTTGCACACACAATTATTCTAAACATTTTTTTGTAAAATCATATCCACGTAGTTTGTAGGTCATCGTAATGAGCAGTCTGAAGTATATTTTTAAATGTTTACTTCTTGTCCTCGAAATAGTGTATGTAGTGGGCCAATGGCTTGTCGTAATATACGCATATGCATGTGCATAATCGGTGAGGCTGCACATAATCGTAACGTGCAACTAGCGAGGGCGGAATGTCGCGGCGACGTGTCACGCGTGCCGCGCATTCACTTCGCTTCCAACTCGCACCCCATAAACGTATAAGCGCCTGTGGGGCCACGAAGTTTGCGATCGCATCGTAAGAAACGATAAGTACATTGAGGTTTCTACGACAGCACAATCACGACGCCAGCCCAGAGGAATGCGGATTATAATTTACAGTTCTAATCCAAATAATTAATTCATCTGTACCAGCTATTTCTATAACAGTTTATATTATTTTTGGATTATATATCAATCTAATTTAGACTGTGGAGGAGAACATAGGCAGAATACACAACACAATACGTAACGAACCTGTGGTATAAATGGGTAGAGGAAGGATGCCAAGAGATGGAATTGGCGCCCCTATTTCAAATGCCAGTGTTATTTAACGAAAGGAAGATAGTTAAATAATACTATGAAGCCATGAGATATTTTACTCACAATAAAATTAAAATTAAACGAAGTATATTTATGGACTAGCTTTGAGCTTCCAGTGCTACTTACCATATTACTTTAACTGATATTTTAAAACAGTTGTTATACTATCAATCATAATTAATAAGCAATTAGCAAATTGAAGTATGTATGGTGATGGGCAATAAAATTTAATGAGCTTGTAAAATAATTTCTTCGTTCAGTAGTAATTGAAGTGTTAAATCGTTTTTACAGAAACTTTTATATTTCGGATAGCTGTTATGTACACCTCACCCCGTACGTAATTCAAAGTCATGTGTGTTTTGAACGCAAACTTGGGAGCTCAATAAATGTTACAGGAGACATGGCCCGTGTGCATTTCATGGCCACGCACGCGTCTCCTGCCCCGTTGCAGGTGTCCGGCAGTCCACTGGTGACAAATTGAGCGTCGGCTGCTAATCCCCTCGGAGGCCGGACGTCCGCCGCGTGACAGGCTCGTCGGCGCCATGACAGCCTTTGAACACCTCACCGTGTGGGACCTATTAAAGCCTCCACCACTCAGATTTAAGTTGGGCCAGACATTGTTCGTATTGACCAGTTTGCATCGGACATGACGTATAATATTTTCGTTGTTTTTTCAAGCAATCTTGGTTTCAAAAAAAGTTGAAAGTTCACTAAATACATTAGCAGGATTGGTTATTTTTTATTTTGCGTACGGTCGCTGTTATAGCTAATTCTTAAAGTGTTCTAACAGTATTTCCCTATGTTTTTGTTGTACTTAAACATGTAGAATTTTAACTCGATTAGAATTACAGTGCCGGTATAGTTAAGACATAAGCCAAGCCTATAGTCAAAATGGTGTCTTTCCGTTCGCCGATAGTAGGTAATTTAATTTGAAATGCCATACATTGTAATTGTTCTTCACATGAGATTGAAAACAATACGAATCTTTAATAACGACCAAATAAAAAACGCAAGGCCTTCAAAGCGGGGTGAAACGGGCATAACGAGGGAACTAGCGAAGTCAATAAAACTATTAGAGCCGCGTCAACTCACCCCGGATAATCTAAATAACGCGCCACCTCAGCACCCCACTTCGCTCCGCCGCCAAACAACAAGGATTATAATGTAAATGTATGCAAATTCAGATGGGCCCGGACATTATTACCGCGACGCACAGGCCACAGGGTTGACAGGTGCCCCTCATAGCTGAACCTTATTACGCCGCGAACTCAACGATCATACCGTAAATAAAAATTGAGTAACATTCAAAGTTTGATGATTGAGAGAATCATCGAATGCCTACTTATCAGTTTGTGTGGAATGTTGAGAACTTGTCATGGTTCTGGGTTCTATTCGAAACAATAAAATTTACACAATAACCCTAATGGCAACCCTACGATTCAGAAAAATGGCGGTTCGCGGGCGACAGATAACGACAGCTTAGGTCGCGGGGCGCACGGCTTAGCGCTAAATTGTGGAAACATGACTTGTTTCGTAAATTCAGGGAGACCGCGACGCAAATGTAAATGAAACGATAATAACTCACGTCGGCGTCGTAAAGCGTATGGGCGAGCGGTGCGACGACCTATGGCCCGTGAGCCGTTGCAAACATTCGGCACTCGTCGGCAATATTTTCCAGCGCCAAGCGGAAATATAATAAATTCATGTACGTGTACTTACATTTCTTTTTTTTTTTCAAAAATACTTGTAATGGCCGCTTTCAAATTAAATTAAGTTCATTAAATATCTCACACTATACTTTTGTTTCTCTTAGTAAACATCGTTGATGTACTGTACACATGAGCACGGCTCGGCGAGAAGGGAATGCAAATTCGCGTCGCAACTTATTGCCGGAGAAAAATGGTCCAAATCCTACGTCTAACATTAAAGGGCACGAGGCGTTTTGTGTGCGGCGTGCGACTCACGTTCGCCGACTTTTTACTTTGTCCCTTTTAACTTAAGATTGGTTATCTTTGTAAAAAAATAAATAGTTTCAGACAAGAAATATTTTTCCGACAATTTTTTTGTAAATATAGAGTAATACATCAAAACTGTACATTTTTAATTCAATCATTTTCGTGCATCACGTAACGATAAATTCTGAAAAGTGTTCATAACGAGCGAAATTCAAAATTTAATGACACGCGTTAAAATCAGTAAAAAATAGTTTTTCGTCTATGTTGTTAAAGTTGAATTCGCAATACGTATGATTAGGATAGGTGGTTTGAATACGATACACCGTTCCATTTGCGTGCCTAATAAGCAACAAGCCAAAGTGACGAGGCGAGTGGTATTTCAGATGATAATAATCAATTAGAGGCCATCAATCTCTATTAGCGAGTCGAGCTTCCGTGTAGCGGCTGAATGTCGCGAGCCTGAACTAATCGATGGTTATTACCACGGGGTTACGAACCGCATACGTTATGAAAGAACTGACAATCCTAACACCAATGTTACTTATGAAATTCAATGATAAATAATGAACCAAGGAAGTGTTGTCTCTATTATTTATGTGCATACAGTTTTCGAGACATTTAGAAACAAGGCTACAATCGGAAGTACTGCTGCAGTCAAGACCTCGCGACGGCTTTAATTAATTGCGAGAATTAGAAATATTTATGACCCGCTTTGGGAGACATGAGTCATTGAGCCTATACTGTCGTTTCGAGCCGGGATGAAATTCAACTGGTGTGTCGCGGCGGCTTGGCTCGGAGCTCTTAATTAGCGACCGCCTAGCGGAGATTAATTCGCATCGGCCGCGAGCCGCTGCATTTGTCAGTTGTTGGCGCAGTCGGTGGTGTTGAATGCGCAGTGGCGGCGGGTCGCGTGGGTGCGCTGGCCAGGCCTGGGCTTTTGCAATGCCCACTACTACAGTGTTGCGTGTCGTACAGTGTCTTAATCAGGTGTCTAGACTCCTTAAACCCGAAAAGTCTAGATATTTGTAAGCTCACATTTATACAGCTTTCACGCGATGCCTGTAAACTTTGTACAACAGTTGCTGCCCCGTCTGACGGTGCTATATAATTTTCAGTAGGTGGCGCTTTATTATTGTATTGTATTAAACCATCATACAAAGTCTACACAAAAAACAAATGCCCGCAATGTCTAGTTTTTAGTAACGCATGTATACCGACTACAATAATTTCCAGTAAAATTCCAGGTTTCCAGATCCGAAAAGTTCCAGGTAATGTTTCTGTGCAATCTACTTTACATTTCAATGTAAACCTGTTTGTTTCCCTTTAACAGCACCAACAAGCGCTCTACGACGTAAGATATATTCGAATTAACAAAAAGAACGGGATTTGTTAAATTTTTGTACTTGTCTCGTATCTAGGTAATAAAGTTATAAAGATTATCACAACTTGTGTACGGTGTGTGTTATGGTGTGCGTGGTGTGCGTGGGGTGCGGGGGTGCGGGGGTGTGGTGTCGCAGTGCGGCTCTCAGCTCAGGCTGCGGGATACCGAACCCGAATAGAACCAGCTCCACCGCCCGCTCTGCGCATATTTCTAAGGCGTTAGTGTCAGGAACATCTTCCTTCGGCTATAACGAGATTTTGTTTCAGTCATCTTTTGAAATAACTTTTTTTAAAAAGATGAAATTTTAAATCTTGGCGTTTTATAAAATATAAAGTGCTAACAGATTATTCACCTTGCACATAATTTACTTTCCAAAGCAGTGTTAATGGTCTTTATTTCGTATTACTTAACCTCTACCTCGTGGTTGAACGACTGGGAAATTACAACTAGTACTAACAATTCCATTCATCGGTAGTATTTGTGTCTATTTTGTTACTTGCGTGGGATGCGTGTAGGAATAACCTTCTATCGTGGACAGACAATGCAATGAAACGAGTGCAGCTGAACAAGTAGGAGAGTCAGCATATGCGGCCGTTAAGTTTGGCGCGCGTCCAACATAGCGGAGTTGTGCGCGTTATTATTTGCGCGCCAAACGTTCCCGCCATTTTACGGCACAGCACCCATTTATGACGCGACCTCGCGACGTTTCATGGATCATTGTGTTATCTGTGCGACGAGTTATCGAAGTGAGTTAATTATCCATGTAAGAAATGCCGAATATTATTTGAGCGAGTAGGAAATACGCGGGTTTTATTCAAGCTGCTACACACCAGAGTTATCACAGATTCATAGCCTAGATTTATTGATGCAGTTTTCTATAACAGCGTTTTTCGTTGTATTAAAAACTAGTAAGTACACCTTAAATATTCTTCTCCTTTGATGTAAGACAATCATACTTTGTTGAAACTAACGTAAACTGTTTTGTATATGAAAATGTAAGGAGATTCAGGGCAGTATACGAGTACATATTACTAGCGCTAGAGCGAAATATCTCGGATATCTCCCGTGGGTGTCGTCAAAGTAGTTATAGGATGGCAAGGTTGCTTTTATTAAGTGTTTGTAATCTAACACTTTCTTAGTAGTAACTACGAAAGTAAAAGGAAAATGGATAAATACAAACGACTAGAAATTTTATGAAAGTAACTATGGCTTTTCTCATGTTAAATTTATACAATGCCTTTAAAGGTACACTTGTGAAAATTCTATCAAAGAGATATTTGCTTTTCGCATGCGTAATGGTCAGATTACTTGAAGAATAATTTAATGTGATCCTCTCTGCTTATAGTTTCAATGGATATTTGTCATAATTATGTACGTCATAATTAGATTGCGGTAGCAGTAAGTTTCATCGCGCTAATATTTGACTGTTAGACAATGCCTAACAGAAATAAGTTAAAGTGACAAACATTCTACCATAATGGAAGACTCATTATGCTGGACGTATCGACATTTAGATGGAACGTGGTCTTTCGAACCGAAAAGCGAAAAGCTAACATTTATCGTTAAGATTGAAATCTCTGTAGTAAATGCTAGTTATGAAAAAAGAACACTCGGTCTCATAGTTTCTGTATTAGTAATTAGTTCCTATCGAACCAAGACATATATAATATAAAAGCGTATAATGCTATTAACATATCATAATGAGCTATTGTTGGCGACTGCGACAAGGGTTATCCATCTCAATAAATCGCAAACGTCCGTCGTGTCCCTGGGCGTTTTATGGGCGACTTATTCTCGGTAATTCGAGCGTAGTCTGCACATTATTTATTTTAGCAATTCTTTAGTTTCATCGTCCTCTCCGAATCGGAGCATTTGCTCGGAGAAAAACAATAACAACACGACGTCGTTAAATCGCACGTCTCGATCTCGTATCTTGCTCTGAAATTCAAATATAACCGTTGTCTGTTGACATGAAACTTCAAAGTACTCAAGTATCAAATGTGCCTCTAACAGAGTGGCGTTCAACAAGCAGGGTATGCTATACGTGAATACATTTCACATGATACGTTTTTTTAGTTATTAGAAGTAATAAAATTATATATCATAATTCATTTACTTTTATCTGCATAACATTTATTAACCCTATTATACCTGTTAAGTTATACCATGCATATATTATTATAATAAATTAGGAAAGATCCATTATGTGGGTTTGGATAATTGTCTCTATCTGCCAAAGAACCATCTTATACGAGTAATTATATTTTGAGTAATTTCAGCGTAGCGATCGTGTCACGTGTGATCGCTCATACTCAACACGAATCCGAGGCAATTGGAAACAATTTATTATTGGGCCCGCACTCGGCTCGGTTCAAGGCGATCGCAAAAAGCCAAAATAAAGATAGTGGAGCGAGTGAAAAAAAACAGGCAACGTTGAGCGATGAATTCGTTAGCGTCGCCGGTGATGTATAATCGGTTCGAATGCAATCCATTAGTCTTCTTGTCGAGATTGTCGACCGAAATTATTTGTAACGAAAATACTCGGCGGAGAGCGGGCCGCGTGGATTGTGCCGCCGCGGCGCTTTGTGTGTGCGCCCCGCGTGAGCTCTCTGAGACAACGCGATTTGGCAATGCTCGAAGCTCATTTAAAACGTCGCCTATGGTCAGGTTTATGAACTTTATTGAAAAGGTGAAATATAATTTTTCTAAGCATTTTTTTATGAATATTACAGTACAGGATACACTTTAAACAATTAATGCGACTGCAACGATTGATTTTTGCGTTAGTTCTGTTAATTTCAAGAAATTCCATGTGACTCAACCGCGGATCAGACAAATATTGCAGGTTTCGTCTAACTGTGTATGTACTTTTTTCTACTATAGGTTGAAGCTGAATGTAGGTATCCAAATAAATGGATCATTATTTTATGTTTGTCTTGAGCGGGAAGCCCTCATACCCACTACTTCCTTAATTAGCTATCGTCCAGTTGATGTTGAATCTAATTACACAAAATTCAACCCATTAAGACAATCCGAGTAGGATTTTGGTTGTAGAAGCTCTGACACATTCATCGAACGTATCCTCAGAGTACAATAACGTGTATATAGAATAACGTCTTTGCGTTTATCACTTCTGTTTAACAATAAATAATTACGCACTACCACATTCTTCCAACTCGGCAAGCTTGGATTTTTAGTAACATTATCCCGAGTTTACGTGCGTTGCAGGGCACATAGCTATAGCAATAAAAAATTTAAACTGATTTTAATGCTAATATCAAATTTCACAGATCAGCGATAATAAATCATTAATGACGTATTTTAAGAACATTTAAATACTAATAACTATATTTTTCAGGATTTCCCATGGAACTTTATTTAAGCGATTTCTTGTTGGTTGTTATTGTGTCTATATTGAAAACTATTAAGAGGATAGACGATATAGCTAAATTGCATCGTAGCTACCTATTGCACTAATGCAATTGAACAGAAAAATGCGGAAGACACATCTACTTATCTGAGTCCGCTATCAATCGCCAGGTAAGCTATTTCGCTTTCCATTGCAGCTTATATTATGAAATCCCGTATATGCCGGGTAGCGGGCCAATATCGCCGATTGCACATTTCTCCCATCCGCTGTTGAACCGTCATGAATTGGGGAACCGAGACAGCGCTGACTCCTGCATCCGTGCAAACTGCGCCCGCAAACTAACTGAATCGCCCAAGATATCCAATCTTGCGGCTTTCGGAAACTTTGCAATAACCCGAAACGGATGTAGCTGAATGCCGACTGGAGCTTCATATTAATCGTGCATTGCGAGACCTTACTAATAATGGTACGTTGAAAAGCCAAGTACTTGTTTAAACACGGTATTGATTGACTTTGATTTTCTATATAATTCGATCGATTCTTGTACCATTATATAGTAATAATAATAATATTATTATAGAATCAAGAATCGATTTTAGATACATCTTTTTCTTGTCATATTTATTTTGTAGACAAATGTTCACATATATGTAAAAAAAAAAATAATTTCTATTACATTTACAACGAGTTCCTGCTGACCTGATATTTCCGGTTAGAGAAGAATATTGTGAAATAAAAAATATCACTCGATTCTCATAACTCGAGAAGCCCTCGACGCGCCCTCTTCGCCTCAACGATACTCCTGCCAAGGAATCTCTCGAAGAGAGCTTTTTCAATGAAATTTAAACACGGACTAAAATTATTTCAATGAAAAAGAAAAGAAACATAGTCAAAATGGAATTAAGCGACGTTCATTACACGTATATCAGCAATGCTCCCCTAGATGTAGGTAAAGAAATCCTCATCCCCCAATTTCAAGGGTGAGGAGACTTCCTTCAAGTAATGGACTTGGATACGCGATCGGCGTCCAAATGGCCAAAGACGGGACTCAGCCGGTGCGCTTTGAATTTGACGCGGTTCGCGTAAAATCGGAAAGTTGCTACTAAGAGTCTGAATGTAATGCATTTTTGATACGCACCGAGACACGCCATCTGGAACTTCACGGGGCGGATATTAAGAGCTGAGCGCCTCCGACACCAAATGAGTGTCTGCCGCCGTAAGTGAATAATAACTCTGCGCCTCGAAGAGATTATGAGCGGTTTTTGCACCGAAACATTTAATTCTAATCACAGCAACCCTTGCCGCGGACCGCCCTAAGCTGTTTCCAATATTTACGATTACATCTGCCTGCATGAACTTTAATCGAGTCGTTCACATTCCTTTAAAGCAATGTATTGCAATTACAGAAACAGTTAGATTTCTTGTATTTATGCACGCTATTTTCTTTCAACTCGTATAAAATTCTATTGTATTCTGCTATGAAACTATAAACATTAGCATATTTCATTTTTCTGACACTGTTATTTAGTTACTTTCTGTGCACCCTTTCCTATATTCATTGCGTTCATTCTGCAGCGCTAACTTCATATGATTAATATTCAATAGGACAATTTTGTTTACACTGTCATGTTTGTTAAGTAAACTAAGTTGAGAACTGTTGTGTACTGTCAAGGAACATAGGGGCGAACTGAACGCTCACAGAGATACTCGATGTGAAGAGTTCTACTGCTTACGAAAACTATCGCGGGAATTCCAAATTATCACGTTATTGTTATATAAAACGTACGTACGTATGTCTAAAGAAATTTGCAATACGACACCCGTGTCATCTGATTGTTCAGATTTTATGTTCGATCTTCGATGTTCGATGATCATGGTATTATTAAATCTGCAACTTTTTTAATTCGCCGATAACTACGTAAAGAGAAAATTCACATATTACTTCAAATATTACATAGTAATCCAGAGATTTAAATCGCTTAGATTAGTCCTTAGAAAGGAAATATTAGTAACAAAGGCAATAAGCCCAAGAATTCTTATCAATTTGCTGGCAATGAAAGGAGTTAAGATGAATTTTAACGCTAAATCGTTAATG